ATATATATATATAATACTTTTTAAAAGAATTATTCATTTAATTTTACTTATTCTTTTTTTTAATTCACCAGAGGAAAAGACAGGGAGAGAGAAAGTGAGAAAGCAAGCTGCCAGGTCTGGCACTCTAACCACGGTTGACCATGTGGGAGTCCAGCACCTTAACCATCACACCACTGGCCTCAACAAGTCTATATATTGAAAGAAACTAAACAAAGATAGGGGAAGCTTGGGGGACAGGGAAGATAGCGATTTTATGTGGGGGGCATTGTTCATCTTGTGGGTCATTTAGTTGAGAGAGCTAAGAGTTGAGTTCTGTAGATTTACCTATTAAAACCAGAGTAAATGTGGAAAAATGGCTCTTCATATCTGTTTTTTTTTATTATCTATTTTTTGAAAGGTAGGCAGTTTTGTTTGTTTTCCTTTTTTTGGAGAGTTTTTTGCTATAGGGCGTGTGCGCTCGCCAGAAAGACAGAGAGAGACAGACAGAAAGCAAGAAATCACCCCCCCCAGGGGGGATGGCTATGCCATAATCCCTTCTCCTTCATTCTCCTCTTGGGATCTTGGGCACGTATGCACACGCCCCCGGCAGCTTATCCGGGACTTGAACCACGGTCAACTACGTGGGAGTCCAGCAACATAACCATTACGCTAACTGCTGGTCCCAGGTAGGCAGTTTTTGACAATCTGTTAAATAAACAGAACTTTCTCCCAGGAAAAACGTGGGTTTTTTCCTTAGAAAAAAAAATATATAGTGGTTTTCATATAGCTCCCAAAGTTTACAAAAGTGGGCATCTCATTTAACCTGTGAGCCTCAGGTCGTAGAGTAAAAGAAGATGACCTAGGGTGAAACCCTGAAGAACCTCAACTTCAGTGGATGGATTATCAAAGAAAATCTGACAAAGACGGTTTACAATAATGCCCATTACTTCTTGTGTAAAACCTGGTGAGTAGGGTATTCAACAGAACGAGAAGCGATCCAGAAGCGGGGCTAGTTAGTGGTGGCAAATGCCCCTGGGAGTTCAAGTATGATAAGGAATGAAAAGTATCCCTTGAGAGGGGCTGGCAGGTGGCATGGTGGTTAAAGGCACTGGGCTCCCACGTGGCTGACCATGGTTTGAGTCCTGGACCTGGCGGCTTGCTCACTCTCTGTCTCCTTCTCTGGTCAGCTAACAAATAAATAAATTAAGGAAGGAAGGAAGGAAGGAAGGAAAGAAAAATTAAAAAAAGAAAAGTGTCCCTTGGATGGAGTTAGTAGTTAGGGCTTAGGAGCATGGACAAGGAGGAAGCTAAATTGCAGATGAAGTGTTAGTGAGAGGTAAAGAAGTGGAGCTAGAAAGTGTGAGCAATTCTCTGAAGAAGCTTCATTATTAAAAGAAGTATAGGGCCAGCAAGTGGCATGGAGGTTAAGGTACTGGATCCCACATACTGGATCCCATATGGCTGACAATGTGGTTCAAGTCCCTGATGTCTTGAAAAACACTCCGGGGACCAGCAGTTGGCATGATGGCTATGTCGCTGGACTCCCATGTAGTCCACTGTGGTTCAAGTCCCAGACCCGGTGGCTTAAACTCACGTGTGTGCGTGCATGCCCAAGATCCCATAGGAGAATGGAGGAGAAGGGATTGCGGCGTGACCATCCCCCCTGGGGGGTGATTTCTCTCTTTCTGTCTCTCTGTCTGTCTCTGCCTTTCTGGCGAGCGCACGCGCCCTATAGCAAAAACCTCACAAAACCTCACCAAAACAAAACAAAACAAAACAACACTCCTGGTACATGTGTGTCTGAGAGGAGATTGGTGGAGAGGGGATTTTGGCATGGCCATCCTCCCTTGGGCGGTGGTGATTTTTCTCTCTCTGGTGATCACATGTGCCCTATAGCAAAAACTATCAAAAAAAAAAAAGGTAGATGGTGACTGGAGGCCAGCAAAAGGAGGGATGGGATGAGACTTAAATATGTTTAAATGCTGACAATGTAGTCAGAAGAGGAGACAGGGCAGGGGAACTGCGTGCTGGCTCTTGAGGTTCCTGAGGGCTTGGAAGGCTAGATACAAGATCCAGAGCAGAGCTGGAAGGAGGAGTCTTTAGGAGAGTGCGCACTGTCGGTGACAGGAAGGAGAAGAGAATGAGTCTGAAAAACACTAGGTGATGGGTTGGTGGCAAGAGGTTGGAAGAATTCTCATATATTTTCTGTCTCTGAAGTAAAATGTGAAATGATTTCACTTCATAGATCATGGGGTGGTGCTTCAAAAAACATAATTGTAAAAAGAAAAGAAAAGAAAAACAATCGTTACCTCATTTATATGGAAGGTTATAATTTGGATTTGTGTGTGAGTTATATATGCATTGACCTGAGTATTCTATTCAGTTTACATGAAGATAATACAGGTTTGGGAGCTCTTTAACATCCGGTTTGTGATTTGTTATAAGTTATTACCTTAGTTTTCTTTCTTTTTTTTTTTTTTAAAGAGAAAATTTTGCTATAGGGCACCGGTGCTCACCCTGAGAAATCACCGCCCAGGTGGATGGCTACCTTCACAATCCCTTCTGCTCTATTATCGCCTCTGGATCTTGGGCACACATGCATACATGCCCAGCGTGAGTTTAAGCCACTGGGTCCAGGACTCAAACTGCAGTCACTATGTGGGAGTCCAGCAAGGTAACCATTACGCCATCTGCGGGTCCCTCTAGCTTTCATGTTTTAAAAACCAAAACTGGGGGCCAGCATTAAGGTGCTAGACTCCCACATGACTGACTGCAGTTTGAGACCTGGACCAGGCAACTTGAAACTCAGGCTAGGTGCATGTGCATGTGCGCCCAAGATCTGAGAGGAGAATGGAGGAAAAGGGATTGCAGCTTGGCCATCCCCCCCGGGGGGTGATTTCTCATTTTCTGTCTCTCTGTCTTTCTAGCAAGTGTACACACCCTCTAGCAAAAATCTCTCTGGGGGGAAAAAAAAAGACATAGCCTAGAGACCGGCAGACAATATAATGGTCAACTGCGGTTTGAGTCCTAGACCCTGTCTGTGGCTTAAAACTCACACTGGGCATGTGTGTGTGTGCATGCCCAAGATCCTAATAGGAAAATGGCAGAGAAGGGATTGTGTTGTAGCCATCCCCCTTGGGGACGATTTCTTGCTTTCTGTCTCTGTCTCTCCAGGAGCACATGCAACCTGTAGCAAATAAATAAATAAATAAAATTAAAAAAAACCGCAAAACAAAACTGTTTCGAAAACATAGTTTGAGGGACTTGGACTGGTAAATTAGGATCTGTGCTTACTTAGTAACTTCGTCTTCTGATGCGGTCTTCAGATTTTTTTTTTTAAATTTAGAATTTTAAAGCGACTAGTTATATTTATTAGGACTTATTTGTAAGTTTGTTAATGAGTTTTTATATGTTAAATTTCCAATACTTTTTTAAAAAAGAATTATTTGATTTAATTTTATTTATTCATTTATTTATTCTTTAATTTGACCAGAGAGAGAGAGAGAGAGAAAAAGTGAGAAAGAAGCCACCAGGTCTGGAACTTGAATGTGGTTGACCATGTGGGGGTGTCCAGCACCTTAACCACCACGCCACCTTCTGGTCCCCAAAACTTCCAATACTTTTAAGTAATTGAACAGATCACTTAAATTGTGAGTAAAAGTGGGTAGAAGTTACCAAACATTGCATTCATAGATATTTTATTAAATGATAAATACACTGAAAATTGATGTCTTAAAAAAAAAAAGAAAATTGGTGTCTTACCTTTACTTGTTCAAGTTGTTTGACTCTTTTTTTTTAATAATTATTTTATTTAACTTGATTCATTTTAATTTGACCAGAGAGGGACAGAAAGAAAGAATGGAGAGGGAAAGCAAGAAAGCAAGTTGCCAAGTCCAGGACTCGAACTGTTGTTGGCCATGTGGAGTCCAGTGCGCTTAACTACCATGTCAGCTGCCGGTCCCTAAGTTTGACTCTTTAAGCTGTAACACCCCCCGGGATGGCCACGCTGCAATCCCTTCTCCATTCTCCCCTAGGGATCTTGGGCACGCACGGACATGTGCCCTGTGTGAATTTAAGCCACCGGGTCTGGGACTCAAACCATAGTCAACTACATGGGAGTCCAGCGACAAAATTATTACACTAACTGCTGGTCCCCTTAAGCTGTAATTTTTAAGTTGACATATAATTCACATACTACCAAATTTATCCTTTAAAACATGAATTCAGTGGTTTTCAATACATTCTTAAGGTTGTGCATCCATCTGTATAAGTAATAATTTAATGCAGGGTAACTCAGAAAATGTGGATTTGGGGTATCTATTTTTACTATATTAACTTATAATTTTTAAAAGGTACAGTAGACCTATGTTGTCATTGAACTGATAATTTAGAGGAAGATAATTTATCTCTCCTCTAAAGTCTCTGCGGCGTTCAGTTGGAGAATAGAACGTTATTATTTTATGAAAAAAATTGTATCTATGTAAGGAAAACTCTCATTTATCTGATTTATAATTCTTTTCAGTATGAAATTATTTATGATGGGCCTGGCAGCCGGCGGGTGGTTGGGGCACTGAATTCCCACATGGCCAACTGTGGTTCAGGTCCTGGACCTGGCAGCTTGCTTTCTATCTCTCCATCCCTCTCTCTCCCTCTCTGGTCAAATTAAAAAATAATGATAATAAATAAAATTAAATAATGAAAAAAATAGATATGACAACCTGAACTTACACATCTCTGCCTTAGAACTGTTTTTCCCATTGCTAATGAGTTTCTCTCAGAATCGATATCAGGTTAGTCAACTTCCTTGCCCTCAGCTGTTCCTGGTGATCATTGCTGAGGTTGCCTCCACTGAGTCAGCTGTCTTGTGCTTACTAGTCTTTCCGAAAGTTTGTGATCATGTTTCATACCTTGCTAAAGTTAAGGTTTAATTATCTACTGCTGTTGACAATGTTTTAAAATGAAACAATACAGTCTGTTACTTCATTTTAATATTTCCCATGTATTTTTTGTTTTCTTTACAGTACTCTGTGCAAAAAACTTGGTGAAAAAGGATTTTTTCCGTAAGTAAATTAAGTATAAATTTTGTATATTATGTATAGATTTTTTTTTTCGGATAGCATTTTCAGAATTGTCTGGTTTAGAGATTTCTCTATTCAGAAATACACTCGATGTTATTTTATAAATACTTTGGTTCAGAGATATTTAACACTTCATTTTTTTAGGAGATTTTGTACTTTTTAGCTTTAGCCCTTTTCCTCTCCTCTCTCCTTCCCATATGTTCATGTGCAGGTGTGTGGATGTGGACGTGTAAGTGCAGAGGTGTGTAACACACCAAAGGGTGTGTGTACTGCTAGATTTCTGCAACAGGGTTAAGAGATTATCTTACAAATACTTTTTTCTTTTTAACTTTATGGGAAATTGAACCCACGCATTAAGATTAGTTGGAAGGTAGAAAAGTGATTGAGCCTGCTTGTAATTTCCACGGAATAGGAAGGAAACCCCTGCCACATTTGATCATGGATGCTCTTGTGTCTCAGATTCCTAAGCAGACAGATGTTTAGTTCCCATATTTGAAACCTATTAACCAGTCGGTTGTGCAATTTTTTTGTGGCTTTATTTAGGATTAAGTTTTGTGAGAGAATTGGAAAGTACTCCTCCTTTGTGTTGAAAATTTTTTTACCCTGTAATATAATATTTCACAGTAGCCTTAAAGTATTGAGTAAAAATTACATTTTAGTAAACAGCTTTTTTAGCCAACAAAATTTTATATGTAAAATATTTGAAATTAGAAATAGAGAGGATTCATTAGATTTGAAAGTGCAAATCCTCTCAGCCATCAAAAGCTATGTGTGCTGTCTCAATACTATGACACTAGATAATTTTCCAAGATTTGATTAAAAGAAGTAATAAGCTCTTGATGATATATTTTGAAATTTCTCTTGCTCTTTTTTTTTTTTTTTTAAAGAGATTTTTGCCTTAGGGCACGTGCACTCACTAGAAAGAGAGAGAGAGAGTGAGTGAGATGGAAAATGAGAAATCACCCCTGCCCCAGAAGGGATGGCCATGCTGCCCTTCTTTTTTCTCCATTTTCCTCCTGGGATCTTGGGCACTCATGCACATGTGTCTGGTATGATTTTCAAGTCACCAGGTTTGGGACTTGAACCATGGTCAGCCATGTGGGAGTCCAGTGTGTAACTGCTACTCCATCTGCTGGCCCTATTTTGAAATCTTTCTTGATTAATTCCACTTGAACTTATATTACTTCCATTGTTTCTAGAATGAAACATGAATTAAAGTTTATAAAAAAAACATAATCTTATAAAACTACATAGTTTTTAAAAATTATTTATTTTATTTATTCATTTATTTATTTCTTAATTTGACCAGAGAGAGGCAGAAAGTGAGAGTCAGAAAGAGAGGAAGTGAGAAAGCAAGCCACCAGATTCACGACTTGAACCCTGGTCAGCCATGTGGGAGTGTCCAGCGCCTTAACCATCATGCCACCTGCTGGTCCCAAAACTACATAGTTTTTATGCTATCTTTCTGTTTACAGGAAAGCAACTAAATAGGATAAATTGAATCATAGGAAGAAAATTATAAGCAATCCTTATTTTATGTTCAACGCGTCCTCCACCTGCAGCCTGTCATGGCAGGAAAGCCTGGTGGTCCAAACTCACCACCTCTCCCTGCTGCCACCAGTTAATTTTTGCTCTCTCACCCACCTTATCCTTGTTACTGGTAATCTAGTCACCAAGGTGTACTTTTTTTTTTCCCTAGCATCCTCCTTAAGGTTGATTTGTGGTAGACTTTATTTTAGTGGGACTGTGAAGTGGCAAATAGGATGGGACAGACTAGTGACAAGAATAAAAAGAGGGAAGTGAGGAGTGCTCTTACAGCTGCTTCTCTAACCTTCAAGACATCTACTTTGGTTTTTAGGATAAAATCTTCAGTTTTGTCTCCCAGCCTTCCTTTTCAAATTCATTTCTTTCCTCTAGAACTCTAAATGCAGTTTACTATTAATAGTAAAATACAGTTTTTATTTGTGATTCAGTTTGAGTTGTATTAATGACAAAAGTAAATTTTAATGTGAAGTGTGATTGTTGGGTGATGGAATAGGTCTGTACGTTTTTTCACTGTCTAAAAAAGAATCCACTGCATGAATTGCTTTTTTGTGGAGCAATTTGTATGTGAAATAATACTGTTTATTCCAGGGTACTATTCCCTGGAATAAACTGAAAAAAGTTTTGTTCATTCATGTTGTGGAACTCCTCCCTTCTCCCTCATATCTCTCTCTTCACTGTTCAAATACGTACTATTCTCTTGTTTTTCTGAGCTCTTCTTTTACCCACTGTTGAATGAGCAGCAGGGGGTATAGGGTAGCATCATCACTGAGAGCCTGAGGCCCACAGCCAGAGCCAGACTGTGTGCATGGGTTTAGAATCCAACTTCAGACCCTGGCACTTTAGACATTTACTCCTGTGTGACCTTGGGGCTTGTCAACGAACCCCTTTGTGCCTCAGTTTTTCCAACAGTAAACTACACATAGTAGTATCTTATGTCATAGAGTCATTGTGAGGATTCAGTATGTACAGCTGTAAAGCATTTGGAGACTTACTTAAAGAGATGCTGTGTTACAAGTGTTTGCTGTTACAATGAATACAGTCAAGCACTTGTTTATTCTCAGGGTTTTTGTTATTTTCTTCATGTTGTGATATTTTTGTCTTCCCAATCAGACAGTAGGCTCTTTAAAGGCACAGTGTACATTTTAAAATTTTTTGTCTCAGTCTTTCCTCACTCCTCAGTGATGAGTGGCAGTTCTCAATAAAAATTGTTGGCTATTTTGATTTCTCTGTTGCCCATATTCCTTTGTGAAAAACCTTTAATAAGCTCTTTAAAAAAAAAAAAGTGAGCTACTAAGGGATACATTTGTAAAGAGAAGAGTCATGAATGTTTTAAGCATTCACTTTCTTGGGGTCAAATGGCTGGTAAGCTATAAAAACTTTCACATCATAAGGTCACTGCTAGACGTTGGTAGTTTAAGGATCTTTTTGAGATTGGAACAAGAAAACATATAGGTTTGGTATTTAATGTAGAAGTAACTTTACTTTCGTTTTTTTTTTTTTAATTTTTTTTCAGTTAACTTTTCATTTATAGCTAAATGTTAAACTTTTAAAAAGAATTAAAGAATGGAATAATTTTTTGTTTAGTGAATGATAATCTGTATAATTAATCTTCTATTTTTCATATAAAGTATTCTATAATTAAAAAATAGTCTTCCCCTGTTTTCACAGGACTTCCTGATCCGTTTGCTAAGGTGGTTGTTGATGGATCTGGGCAGTGCCATTCCACCGATACTGTGAAGAACACACTCGATCCAAAGTGGAATCAGCATTATGACCTGTAGGTTTAAATAATTACTTTGAAATAAAACACAAAATTAATGTTAATGATAAAGTATTGGAAAAGAGCCAGGGAACATGATGTGAGTTTGATTTGTGATTTAATTTGGTCTTTCCAGAAAGGTTACAAATCCAGTGGGAAGGTTTTTTGACTCATTGATAACAAGATGAAAGATGAGGTATACCTAATAAGTACATGAAGAACAAAATGAAGGCAGCCCAGTGGTGCAGTGGTAACGCAGCACTCTGCTGTGCTGAGGCCAACATGGCAAGGTTCTGGGGCAGTGTCTCGGGGTCTCCTTGTGCTCTTCAGTGCCTCTGTGGTCCTGGCTGGTTAAAGGTAGGGCTGGACTGCAGCATTAAGACCTCGTTGGGGATGTGTATGTTTGGTGCACTCTCTTGGAAAAAGAAACAAAACAGAAAAGGAAGTATAAGTTCTATAAGTTCTTCCCCCCCTTTTTTGCAATCAAATAAAGATATTAGTTTACCTTAAACCAATTCTAAGTATAAAACCAGAGGTTAGTATTAGAGTATACTCATAGGTATTCTTTTTGTTTCTATACACATGGTTTCCTTTTCTTCCCTCTGTTTCCTCCCTTGCACTCTCCTTTCCTTCTTTTTTTAATTGCCAGAGGGTTCCCGTGCTCAACAGTGATGGAAAGTACCTACTGGGGCATGGTCAGAACTAGTCCTTTTCCTCCATTTCTTCATCTCATCAGGAGTTTGCCCATGCATGCACATGGATCCAATGTGTTTTTCAAGCCACTGGGGCCAGGAGTCAAACTGCAATTGGCCATGTGGGATCAGGTTCCCCATGCTGAATCTCTCACTTACAGGGCCAGCCCTGATTGCTTTCTTTCACATTTTACTTTAATCATTGTAGTGTATGCATCTTTTTTAAAAAAACAAGTGATACTGTAAGACTTTTAATGAAAAACAGTGGTTTCCTACCTCATTTTCATTCCATATTCCCATTCTCAAGGTAACTGCTTTAATAACTGTCTGTCTATTTTGGTATCTAGATATCTTGCTTATTTTATAGCATCTAATTTTTTTTTTAAAGTTTTAGGTGTTAATTTCCTACCTTAGAAGATGGTTTAGCCTATAAAATTGATATTCCTCATCTCTACTCCACAATACATGTCCCTTCCTTTCTCCCAGCCCTTCAACATAATTATATGAGCCATTTTTGTTCAATCGTCTTCCTGTGTTTACATTATTATGATCATGTAAATATTCATAACTCAGTCACATGGTGTATGAGAATTACATTTCCATTCTTCACAACTTTTTCCCTCTCAAGTTAATAACTATCTTTGCCATTTACTTAGCTTTTTAAAAATCTCATTAATTCATGGGACTAGCAGTTGGCATAATGTCTATGTCGCTGGTCTCCCATGTAGTCGGCCGTAGTTCGAGTCCTGAACTGGGGGCTTAAAATCACGCTGGGCACATGTGCATGTGTGCCCAAGATCCTGAGAGGAGAATGGAGAAGGGATTGTGGCATGGCCATTCCCCCTGGGGGGGGTGATTTCTTGCTTTCTGTATCTCTGTCTCTCTCTGTCTTTCTGGCGAGTGCACGTGCCCTATTGCAAAAACCTCTCAAAAAAACAAAAAAAACCCAAAAAACAAAACCACCTCATTAATTCCTGAACAACTCTTCTTCATATGTTTAGGCATGCCAGGTATACCTTTGTTTGTTTCTTGGGGCTCCTAGAGCTTCCATACTCTTGGTCCAGTCTGGTGTAATGGTTCTCTAAGACATGCTGCATAGTTTTCTTGGGACTTGCCTTTATCATTATGTTGGGAATTTCCTTGGTCTCTTCTAGGGCCAGAGACTTCCTGTTCTTCTTTTCTTTGTTTATTCCCATTTTTGTGAAATCAATCTTCCATTGTTACTTTGAGAAAGAGTAAAGGGACCAGCAATTAGTGTAATGGCTATGTCGCTGGACTCCCATGTAGTCGACCGTGGTTCGCATCCCGGACCCGGTGGCTTAAACTCATGCATGTGCGTGCATGCCCAAGATCCCAAAAGGAGAATGGAGGAGAAGGGATTGTGGCGTGGCTATTGCCCCTGGAGAGTGATTTCTCACTTTCTGTCTCTCTCTCTCTTCCTGGCAAGTGCATGCCCCCTATAGCAAAAACCCCCCCCCCCCCCCGAAAAAAAAAAAGAGAGAAAGAGAAAGAGTACAAAGATGGGCAATTTTTTTTTTTTTTGAGATTTTTATCTGAAAATATATTTTGTTTTCTTGGTTTATTGAGTATAGACTTCTATGTGAAGTATCACTTGCCTTCCAGGTTTTATTTTCGTTTCATAAGTCAGAGGATGAGTATGCACATCAGAGAGAGAGTGGGGAAAGAGGCAGAAAGTACTTCCAAATGGGGCATGGTTACTGTGCGATTGTTTCTACTCCATTTCTCCTCCTGTTTGGATTTTGGGCACACAGGTGCCTGGCATGATTTTTAAATCACTGGCTCTGGGATTCAAACGGTGCATTTGGCCATGTGGGGTCTGGCTTCCTTAACCACTAGGTCATGGGATCAGTCTGCTGTCCAAATAGTAAATATCTTGCTCTGTGACCTTCTAGGTCTATATCATCACTGTTGAATAGAAATATGTGAACCATAGGCAGAAGCTCATTGGCTTTATTTTATTTTATATTTTTAAGTTTATTTTATTTATTTCTTCCATGAGACAGAGTCAAAAACAAGCCCCTCCAACAGGGTTCTCATTCAGTGATGCATCCCCAGGCTCAGCCAGCCTTGGTTACGGGATGTGTGTGTGGACCCAGCATGCTCGGAGGTCCTGGCACTTGAACCTAGGACATTTCTCATGTGGTTCTAGTTGTGCCATTGCCTGGCCCCAAATTGACTTAATTTTTAAAAGGGAATGAATGGGGCTGGCAGGTGCCGGTGGGTAAAGGTGTTGTATTTCCACATGACCAACTGTGGTTCGAGTCCCAGACTTGGTGGCTTGTTTTCTTGCTTTCCCTTTCTATCTTTATTTCTCTCTCTCTCTCGCTGGTCAAATTAAAAAAAAAAAAAAAAAAGGTCATATTAAATAAATAAATCTGTAAAAAAAATAAAAAGGAATTAATTGACTTGCATAATCAAAAACTCGGGGGGGGGCAGCAAATGTCATAATGGTTATATCACTGGACTCCCACATGGCTGACTGTGGTTCAAGTTCTGAATCTGGTGGCTTGAAACTCACACCAGGTGCATGTGTGTGCATGCCCAAAATCCTGGGAGGAGAATGAAGGAGAAGGGATTATGACATGGCCATCCCCCCCAGGGGGCAGTGATTTTTCACTTTCTCTTTCGCTGTCCCTGTCCCCCTCCCCCACTACTTGGGGATGCACCCTAAGGAAAAACCTCTTTAAAAAAAATAATAAAAGGCCTGGGGGTAGGCATGCTTTAGGCACACCTGGGTCCAGGGTCTCAAATGTGCCTTCCATGTTCCTTATTTAAGTTTCAGTTCTCAGTGGTTTAGGTTTTTCAATATACTAGGTGAATTTTTCTTACATTGCTGCTTGAGTTAATGATACTTGAAGATCAAGGTTGCTGGACCAAAAATTTGACCTCCTAGAATCATTGAAATAGAACTAGGTTTCTACTGATAGAGTTAGGTGATTTTGTTAATATTTTTGCACTGGTCAAAGCCATCTTAACAGTTGGCTGTGGTGGAGTTTTTGCATACTTGCAGGCATGTGCACAGACAAGTACTGTAACGCTTTTCCCTGCTCTGCTTGTCTGCAGGCAGTGAAGTGAAATCTGCAAGAGTCCTGCTCGCTCAAGGCCTGCATACAGGAGAGAAGCAGGGGAAAAGCGTTACAAACAGCTTTTGTTCTACAGCATTTAAAATATAACAGGTAGGTCAGATATTTGGTCTGTCAGCCTTGACAATGCCCCTTGAAAATGAACTGAGGAATTAGTTCATATCAGTGAAATGTATTTAAAACATGACTGTGATAAAAGTTTTTCTAAGATTTTTGTTCTTGGAAAGAAGTAATCATTATAAAGTCCCTTAGCATTATTAGACACTACTAAAAGAACTTTTTTACTAACAAGAACTGTGGCTCAGCCCAAGTGGCAGATTTGATAAAGACACGTTAAGAATGCTTTTTAGATTTTACTTTTAAGATTTTTAAAAATTTAAATTCAGTCTTGTAGATTGTACTCAAAAAATTTTTTTGCATGATCTAGCTATTCTCCGAAACATATTCATGACATCAAAATATAGAAAGAACAAATGAAAAATTTTACACCGACTACTTGAAACTAACAAGTTACCATGCAGCTGTTTTGTTTTCTAGGTATATTGGGAAGTCTGATTCTGTTACAATCAGTGTATGGAATCACAAGAAGATCCACAAAAAACAAGGTGCTGGATTTCTTGGTTGTGTTCGTCTTCTTTCCAATGCCATCAACCGCCTCAAAGACACTGGTTGTGAGTAGATACTAGTACTCTTTAAATTAAAAAAACAAAACAAAACAAAAAACTATTGTCATATATTACTCTAGGACCCGAGTATGTTCTGAGAAATGCATCATTAGACATTTTGTCATTTTGTGACCATCATAGAGTATGCTTATACCTAGCTATATGGTATATAGCCTGTTACATTCTAGTGGGACCGCCATCATGTAAGTGGTCATTGCTTACCTCTGAGTCATTATGTAGTACATGACTGTGTGTATGTGATTTATATTATTATTATTTATTTTTATGTTGGTGAGGGTTCAAAAGGTTAACTTCCTATGTATTTGTGAAGCATTGGTAAAAATTCCTGGTGTAAATTTATTTTGTGGACTTAAATAAAAGTATGTGAAACCCAGAGCTACTGCTCTGCTTCCATTGACTTTGCAAGTAGTAAGAGATGGTTGTTGAGGTGGCCTCATGGTACAGTGCTCAGGCTTTGCGTGGGGAGCCAGATCTCAAGTGCCAGACCATGGTTTGGATAAATTAGTCACAGAAGTCACTCAAAAATCAGCTCTAGTCATTTATGCTTGGTTTCTTATTAATACTTAGTTTATGTGTGTTGTCATTTGAAATGGCTAGATTAAAAAAAATAGCAGTAATAAGGATAACAACTAATTTATTGAACACTTTTGTGCTAGGTAGTATGCCAAGAGTTTTTTGTAATAATCTTATTAATTCCTTCATAAATGTGAGGTAGATAACTACTGTTATATGTAAGAAAACCAAGGATAGTTTGTTTAAGACCAACAACTAGTAAGTGGCAAGCCAGGACTCAGACTGAAGTGGTCTGAAAGTCTGGAGAGGAAGTAGCTGCCTATTGGCAATGCTGTCCTAGTGTTCATGGTTTTTGAAATCTGAACTTAGCAAAACTTATTAAGATACTTATACTAATTGTATATGCAGCTAGAGATTTTAAATATTTGTTTCTGATTAAAATATTAACTTTTAAAATGGATTATGAAAATTTATAGTTACTCTGTAGATGTTAGAATCTCTCTTACTAGATAATTTTTTAATTGCTTTTTCTTTTCTTATTGATTTGAAATAGATCAGAGGTTGGATCTATGCAAACTTGGGCCAAATGACAATGATACAGTTAGAGGACAGATAGTAGGTAAGTGTAGAATTTAAAGTTACATGAATTTTGTCTTTGTTAAAATTAGCCTAAAGTTTAAATTTCTTTTCATTTCAAAGTTTAGCAACTGTAGCTTAATTGTATCAACATGAATTAAATACGAGACATGTAAAATGTTAGAAACAATAGATCCAGGTTGTAGGTTAACTTAATTTTAAAGAACTTTAAATAATATATATATATATATATATGGAGAGAGAGAGAGAGAGAGAGCTACTTCTGGCATTGTGAACTGTTGATTCCTTAGTAAAAATTCTTTCCAAGTATTCAAATACAGTAAAGTACTGAAATAGACTGTATATTAGATTATCCGGAAAGTCATGACGTATTTTTCAATACAAAAATGCGTCATGACTTTCCCAAAGACCCAATGGTAAGTTTTTTTTTTTATATTATGTATTTTTTACTATATTTTTCAACTTCAAGAAAAGCAGATTTAACTTTAATAAATCAAAGAAATGTTAAGGAAATATGCTTGCCAGGAAACAGGTTGGGATTCTGTTCAAATAGTAGGTACATGAACCTATCGGCAGCTCAAGACAAGACAAAAATCCTTAAAATCAGAAAACAAAGCCTAGAGAAAAATCAACAATGTTTTAGTCAAAAGTCATAAAATTCTATTTCGTTAGTTCAGTCTCATGTACTTTATCTTTTGTTGTGATTCAATTTTCCCAATTAAATTCTGGGATATAATATTCAACTCCAGACGTGTCCTCATGATTAAGTTGGCTATTTTCTTAGTTTTTGAAGTCTTATTTCTGTGTGACTGTATTTAATTTTCCTGGTATAGCACTCCCTGCAGAATTTCTTGGAGATCTGGTCTGGTGTTGGTAAATTCTTTCAGATTTTGTTTATCTGAGAATGTTCTTGTCTTTTTTTGTCTGTGGTTTTGGTCAACCTGGCTATAATGTGTCTTGGAGAAGATCTTCTTGGGTTGATTCTATTTGGGGTCCTTTGTATTTCTTGGGACTGGATCTTTGAATGCCTCTCTAGGTTTGGAAAGTTTTCTTCTAGGATTTCATGGGATAGATTGTCAGTGCCCTTAGGGGTCTCTTCCCCTTCTGGGATACCAATTATCTGGATGTTTGGACTTTTGATGGTATCTAGTATTTCTTGTATAGTATTCTCATGTTTTTGGACAATTTTCTCAGTCCTTGCGGTGGATTTTTCTAGGCCAGTAATTCTGTCTTCTACAACTGAGATTCGATTTTCAGTGTGATCTAGTCTGCTTTCAGTATTTTCAAGGGAGGTTTTTACTTCCTGTATTATAGTCTTCATCTCCAGTAGGTCTATTGATTCTTTTTTAAAGTGTGTAATTCCTCTTTTAGATCTTGGAAGAATTTCCTCACCTCCTGAAGCTCGTCAGCTTCTTTCCCCTGCCTCTTTGGCAGTTCATTGTCTCTCTTCTCTTCAGTCTCTGAGCTTTGTCACCATGAAAATTCTAAATTCTTTATCAGACATTTCCATGAATTTCATCATACTGTCTGAGAATGGAGAGGACTTATTTTTCCTTGGAGGAGAGGTATTTTCTTGTTTTTCTGTTTTTGTTTGTTTGTTTGTTTATTTTGTTTTTTTTTCCCCCATATTTCTTGTGACCCTGCGGTGATTTCTAGGCATCAGATGGATGGTGCTTTTCTTCTAATTCTTGAAGTTCAGTCTGAGTGTTCAGAGGCGTGCAGGAGGAGATGATCTGCAATCTCTTTTCCATGCCGTTCTCACTCTTTGTGCATCCGAATCAGTGGGAATAGAGGAATATTCTGACCCTAACTGTATTCAGATGTATAGATTCTGTTCACTTGGACCTGTCTAGACTTAGTGAGCAGAGGCTGAGAAGCAAATGAAAAGATAAAAAAGAAAGAAAGAAAGAAAAGAATTAAAGAAAAGGAAAGAAGAAAACATAAAATAAGAAAAAAAGGATAATAAAAACTATAGATTTTAATATTAAAATGCAAAAATTGAAAGAAAACCGTGTGGTGCAAAAGCACTAGTTCACAGCCGAAGTTCAGGATCCACGTGGAGGTGGGCCTGGGTTTGTGCCTTTCCTAAACAGAAGGGGAGAGGCTGTCTCTCCCTGATTAGCACAGGTGCCCTATGGCAAAAACCTAAAAAAAAAAAAAAAAAAAAAAGACTCAGGGAGACAGAGAGAACTGGAGACAAAGAGACAGGTAACACTACCCACTAGAGATAAGTGAGGTCAAGAAGTCTCAGCAGAAAATTCTCATTTTAAGTCTCTGAAAGCACTAGTTCACAGCTGAAGTTCAGGATCCATGTCCCAATGGTAAGTTTTAAAGTTTCTTGAAAATAATCCTCAAACTAGTTTTTGAGTAAGAAGAGAATATTCTTTTGAACTCTTTGTTTAATATTTAGTGCTTTATATTTTTAAAATCTGTGCTAATTGGAAGAAACAAAGAGCAATGGTAGTGTAACACTGATGGAAAACAGGAGAAATGATCATTTTCTTCATAAGGCACATAGGCTAATATATTTTTAAAATCTGTGCTAATTGGAAGAAACAAAGAGCAATGGTAGTGTAACACTGATGGAAAACAGTGTGCCTTATGAAGAAAATGATATAGGCTAACAGGCTTTCCTAAATTGACTTAGAGGGAAAGGCTTGATATAAAATTTCCTGAAACTTTTCTTAGTGGTTTGATGAATTGATGGATTGAATGACCAAGATTCATATTGTGGTAGGACCCTGAGAAGAGTATCTTTGAGGGTTTTTTAAGAAGAAACATGCAATTGAAATCTTATGACTTCATGATAGGGCAGAGTTCAGAATAAGATTGATTACACGATGAACCTGTTAGAGAGGTTTTCACTACCAAAGATACTTGAAGGGCGTCATTTTACAAGGCAGACTTGTGTCCTGTTAAAGAACAGCCACAGTAGTGACATAACAAAGCCCTGTTGGCAGTTATTGCAGGCACAGGTCTACACAGTAGCACTGTTGATAATGGAGAGTGGGTAAAAAAAAAAAAAAATCTCAAAAATAAATCCTGGCATACAAGACTTTTCTATGTGATTGTTCCCATCGTGTTTGATTTGATTATATGTGATGCTCGCCGACTGATGCCTCAAAGTAACAAAGTTCTGCTAGGTATAAACTGCATTTAAAAAACTAGCAGACTTTGTTAACCATATACCTGTTAATGGGGCCGGCAGGTGGCGTGTTGGTTGAGGTGCTGGACTTCTACATGACTGACCATGATTCAGGTCCTGAACCTGCAGCTCACTTTGTCTCTGTTTCTCTCATCAAAGTTGAAGAATAATGCTAATAAATAAAATCAAAAATAAATAAATCTTTTTTTTAAAATAACTATTTTTTTTTATTTATTCATTCATTGATTTTTTAAAATTTGACCAGAGAGAGACAGAGGGTGAGAGTGAGAGAGAGAGGAATTGAGAAAGCAAGCCACCAGGTCCAGGACTCGAACCCTGGTTGGCCATGTGGGAGTGTCCAGCACCTTGACCACCACCCCCCCCGCTGGTCCCAAAAATAAATAAATCTTTAAAAAAAGTTAAAGAGAAATACATCTGTTTGGGTATACTACGTAAAAAACAATGTTTGGCTTTTAAATGTGTATGTAGATAATTTAAAGCTCTTTTTGTGAATCCGATGTTCATAATAGGACCTTTAATAAGAAAGAGGCAGATCAAACACTGACCCTGCAGTTCTGCCCTTCAAAAACAGAGTAAGTTCCAGATATTGTAGAATTAGGCCTCTATACTTAATTATAAAGATACACACATGCACACACACACACACATATATATATATATATATTTATTTATACATATATACACATGTGTATACATCTATATATTTATATATGAGTGAATAAATCTTTCTGGAAAATGGAGAAAAGTGTACTAGATAAGTAATTTTAAAAATATTGATTCTCCAAATCAGAAGGTGGTATGGTGGTTGGAACGCTGGACTCCAACATGGCCAACCATAGTTTGAGTCTTGGATCTGGTGGCTTGCTTTCTCACTTTCTTTCTTTCTCTCTGGTCAAATTTAACAATAATAATAATTAAATTAGATTAAATAATTTTTAAAAAGTGGTTATTCTCTGGGTCAGCAGGTGGCTTGGTGGTTAAGGTGCTAGACTCTCACATGGCAGACAGACTGTGGTTCGAGTCCTAGACTCAGCAGCTTGAAATTCATGCCAGGTGTGTGTGCGCATGCCTATGTTCCCAAAATCCTGAGAGGAGAATGGGGAAGGGATTGCTGCTTGGCTATCCTTCCCGGACCATGATTTCCCACTTTGTTTTCTAGGTCTCCCTGTGGCAAGCACACTCATGCTGTGGCAAAACCTTTAAATAACAACAACAACAAAAGCTAAAAATTCCTCTTGAATATTTTCATATACACTTTTGTGTGTAATATTTTTATGATTTTAATTATAGTGAACATAAAAATTTTATTTTTCTTTCTTTTAGTTACCATAACCATTTTTAGTGTTTATGCATAAGCTTTGTAATTAATGATGTTTAAAAGATTAATTATGTAGATACATTATAACTGACCATTAAAGTTTTAACTTATTTTTGGCTATTGTAACGTAGAAAATCTCCCAAATCGAAGTGATTGGTTTAAGAGGTATACAAACCTTTTCCCTTGCATTTAAAAGTTATTCAACTCTTCCACCTCTTGTGAAGTTTATTTTTTTCTTATTGTAAATTAAACTCTAAGTATAGACAGAGAACCTAGGAAACACTCGTGATACATTACCCTTCTTTGTTGTTGTTGTTGTTGTTTTGGTGGGGGAGAGGTTTTTGCTATAGGACATGTGCGCTCTCTAGGAAGACAGAGAGAGACAGAAAGCGAGAAATCACCCCCCGGGGGGATGGCCACACCACAGTCTCTTTTCCTCCATTCTCCTCTCGGGATCTTGGGCACCTATGCGCACATACCCGGCATGAGTTTAAGCCACTGGGTCCGGGACTCAAAACAGGGTTGACTACATGGGAGT